TCAGCCTCAAAGGTGTCACAAACAGGCCCTATCAAGTTCTCCAAAGTGGACTGAAGCAGAAGATGCCGCAGTATTTCCAGAGATGACACTATCCCAAATCACCAAAACATCTAGTTCAAGAGAACAGTCTGAAACTGGAGAAGATCCAGCACACTGCCTCTAAATGTTTTTTGGATCCACAGGCTAGACGAAGACCATCTCAGTCTTGTGGAAGAAGCACCAGCAGAGGCAACTCTTCTATTGGCACTTTCTCTTTGCTTTGCAAGTTATTTTGGGTGACATACATACCTCCAGGTCCCCCACAAACAATAGTAGCCTGTGTTAGAGTAGACCACTGCAAATCTACACCTCAGGGAGCTGGAGCAACTATTTCTGATAGGTGAAGGGGGGCAAAAAACCCAAACAAAAAACCATCCTGCAAACAGACCCTCTGAGAGAGAGGATGCAATTCCAATGAGTACTGTAGATGCTGTGGGGTCTGCACTCTCTAGGCAGATTAGTACGTCTGTTGTTCCTGACCTCCACTTGCCCACCCCAAAAATGAGTGAGCCTAACTTTAAAAGCAGCAAGAAGAATCAGGATCAAGTTAGTATATCTTAAAAGTAGTCATCAGGATGGCTTCAAAGATGAAGAGTGAAGGCAATATTAAAACAGAAGGCTGGGATTTTATTTTGGTACCCAAGAGATGGGAACTTCTAAACCTGCTGCTGCCTAAGCCTGGGTGTGTCTATTCTTAATATAAAAGGATGCTAATTTTGCAGGTAGAAACCACACTTCCTGCCCTTTCCAGAGATTTGGAAGCCTTTACCATCCTTACACAAGGAACTCAAATTCTTCAAAGCATGGGCTAGGCTGGAAAGCCTCATACTCTTTGTAAAATGGACTAATGAATAATGATACTTTGGTGTTTGCTGAAGCCAGCCTTGCCTTTGTCAGAACCATCTCTCAAGACACACCACTGTTTGATGAAAGTGAGATGTGCAAAGAACAGCTCTTGGTGCATGAAGAACTCCTGCAGTCTGTGTGGAAGGAGCAGGCAGAAGAGCTAATCAGCACTTCCTGCAGCTGAGAGAGAGGAGAACCTGACACACAACAGGATCCCTGCTGCGATTGATTTGAGGATGTATGTTCACAATAAGCCTTGACAGGCTGCCGAGATGGATTGCACAAATGTCAAGGACTCAGAGATAGGCCTTGTTGCTGTAAACAACTTGTCCCAGGACACAGTGCCAATGGGAAGGGCTGTTGAGATCAGGGAGTGGACATGAGTTCGGTGAAGTATGAGGAAACTCAACATAAGAAAAACGCCAAGACTCCAGTAAAATCAGACAACCTAACTCCTGGTGAAGAGAAGCAGTTATTTCCTTTCCCTTAGTGAAGCCCTGTGATGCAGAACTTTGAGAGTGTTTTTCCAGACTCCTACAGAACCCAGTGTGTCTTTCATGATGCTCAATTTCTACACAGAGGCATTAGGGCATAGACAGCATACTCACTACAGCAAAACTAGTCAGGGACAGAAATGGGAGAAGGACACATATTTTATAAGTCCACACAGCCACAATGACACAGTATAACATCAGCTTCTCCCATACTTCAGGGTTTAGAGACATGACAAGTTTAATTTCCATTCCTGTATTTTAATTTTCATCCATTTAATGTCAGTATAGAAATCAAACTGATTTTTTTTTTTTAAAGGGAATAAGTAGAATTTTTGGGGAGAGGTAGAAAAATAAGATCTAAAAATCTCTTTCCGATGTGAAACTAAAGTTATCCAACATGGCACAGCGGAAAGCAGTTTGCATTTACAACTCTACATAAAAAAACAGAGGAGATCAAAGAAATTGTTCCACTGGCTCAGAAAGAGGGCAATTTGGTCAGCACTTCAGCAAGTGCCAAGGTCTGACAGCAGCTTCAGATCATCATGCAAACCTTCTTAGAGCCAACACGGAAGCATAAGAACTTTCAGCAAGTTGATCATCACCACTGCCAGCAAGGCAGGAAGGGTTACAGGGGAAAAGAAAAGGGTTTCTTCTTCACTCTTCAGGAAAAAGGAGCCATGAACACCTAACCTTGAGAGGTTTGCAAGGTAGAGCCCCAGAGTCACGGCAAAAAGGGAACCTAATACATTTCTCCAGACAGTTTTGAACTTGACGTGTTTATTTGAAAGCTCCCTCACAGAAAGAGAGGTAAGAGAATGAATAACAGAACCGGTAGAAGCAGCAGCATCTGAACACCACAATGCACACTGCTGTTTATCCTTCATAGGCTCTTAAGAATGCAGCGTCACATTAAGATTCAGGCAGCACTGCCTGTGCTTAAAGTGCTGCCAGTGGGACAGGACCCTATTACCTGCCTGGCTCCTGGGCATGAAATAACTGCTGCAAGAGTTTGTTGATGTTGATGTACAGCAGCGTATATCAGGAGAAAAAACAAACATCACCCTTCTATCAATGTTAGCATTCAAGGGCAACAAAAGCAGCAACACTGAGGTTTGATGTTTGTGGCATGTCATCCACCCCTGGCAGAGACCACGTACGCACTGGTGGCGCGGAGAGGAGCGAGACAGCAGTCTTCCAGGGATAGAGACCAACAAGGCCCACTGGACAGCCCGTATTTCAGGGTACAATTGTAGATTCTTATTTTACTCCTTTTCCCACATTGCCTGTAGAACAACATTAAAGCATGAGCAGAAGCAATTTTGTCATAGCATTTTCTTGCTTTCAAAATCAGAATTGTGGTGGTAGATGTCAAAGACTTCAGTTCTTCTGGATGTGAAAAGGGATGAGTTCTTACATAATGGTTTCAAGTAATTTGTCTAGGGAGGGCAGCAGCTCATCTATACACAGCGGCAGAATAAGGGCTGCTTGGAGGAAGAGGGTTTGTCAGCATTGCTGAACTAAATTTCAACAGTGATTAAAGGCAGGTCACAACAACTAACAGCTTCCAGCCCCTCCTCTCCAATTTTAAAAAACACAGGAGAGGGTTGGCTGGTTTAAGAACTGGCCAATCATGGACTTGTATTTTTTTTTAAACAGTCAACGGGCACGATAAAAATCTTCTGGCACTAGACTTCTCATCCTAACATCCCATAAAGTTTGGACAAAGTTAATGAACAAACGATATGCCAACATGATAAATCAGACCACAGCCATTCAAGTGCCCAGAAAGTAACAGAAGCTTGAAACTTCAGTTTTCCTCTGAAACAGCACTTGAATCCAGTACAGAAATACACTGACACCACTTGGTACGTTATATGCCCGTATATATTCTTATCTTGCAATCTGCCACATGTCTCAGTATTTTGTCAGCCTCCACATGGAGCTAAATATGCTGGCCAAACAAAGTCAGATCTTTGTTCAGACAGAATATCTCTACATCTACCTCACCACCTCAACTGCTCCTGAGATCCCTGTGTTACACAGCTAGGCACAGCAGCAAGATCTCCATCCGAGGTTCTTCAGGAAAGCTATTAACCATCACCACAGCCTCAGTGATGTAAGGTCAAGAAGAAACAACCTAAACAAAAAGAAATGGAGGAAACTCAGGAGACAGCTGCCACACATACAATAATCTTTTCCTGGCTGGAGAAAATAATGTTATTCAAGAGCACCGATTCAAAAATTGAATAGTTATTTATTGTTCCAGAAGTACATTGCTCTTTTATACATATTTCATAAATGATACAGGATTTTACACGTGTTCAGTTTTTTTTTTGTTGGTTTTTGTTTTGTTTCGTTTTTTAAAGAAAGACTTTTCTCCATGCTCCCTCCCCTCATCCCAAACACACACCAAGGATTCAGCTACACCATCTTGTTCATTTTTTTCCCTTTGAAACTCACCACACAAACAGGATAAAACAGATAAAAAATAATCACACAATGTAATTAAATTGAAAGACAGAGGAAGAGGGGAAGGGGAAAAAAAATAAATCTAGAAACATGCACCCATTCGGCCCAACATGCCATTGAGTGAGAAGAGGCAGCAATCCCAGCTGTGTTTCCACATCTACAAGGCACCTGGCATCTAGTTAATACTGATTTGTTTTTTTTCTTTCCTATTTTTTTTTTAAACACGGTTCTCCAAAAAACCAGAAGCCTCCTTCCATGACACAGTGAGTAGTAGTGAAACACCAAAAAAGCAGACAGCTTTTCTGTCTGTAAAGCTTAGTGCGCTTCTCCCACCTTCATCCTCTCCCCACAAGATTTATCAGCAGGATGCTAAAGCAGCCTGACCTGCTTTGAAGGAAGAGATGTTTTACCTGCTTAGAAATCAGTCAGCCTTGGCTAGGAGAGAGGGCAATGGTTTGATTTTCCTTCCTCTACTTCTTTTAGCTAAGAACAAGCAATGTCATTAGCCACTCCTAAGAAATTCTGACCTGTGGGCACAAAGTTCATTTGAAGCTACTTACGTAGGGGAAAGTGCTAGAGAACTGAAGTAGTTCTGTGTCTTGCACTGAAGAGCCGCAGGCTTTCAAAAAGCCTCCAGGCAAGGAAAATGCTTTGACCGTTTATGAGACCTTTTATCCCATTACACAAGCAGTCAAATATCAAGTTTTATTATTCCATGTTCCAAAACTGTTCATTTAAAAGGAGTCATGATTCTCCAACAGTTTCATAATCCTTTAAACCTTCATAATTTCATAGTCCATGTGGCTATCAGATTTGGGGTAGGAAGAGGGGAATCTCCCTCCCTTAAGACTGAATATAAAAACTCTCATGCAATGCTGCCATTGATTTCTATAAAGAGCTCAAGGGCATTGGGACGCAAAGTTTATATCATTATTATGGAATAATCAAAAATATCAATTATCAAATGTCCAGAAGAAAAATCATCCCCTCTCTCACTTGGCTACAACCAATGTGCTACAAATAAGCAAAGGAAGAAGTCAGTGGAGCACATGGGGTGGGCTGGGAAGGGGAAGCTCACGGTTTTCCAGTAGAAAGCAGTCTTGTAGTAGCTTTATAAAAGAGACCAGGTCTGATCAGAAGTGTGCGTGTTAATGGCGGTGGAGTGCAAGTTCTATCCCCAGCCATAGTTCCAGGTGGCTTGGATTCTTTGCTCCTTTTTTTTTTTCCTTTATTTTTGAGAGAGAAAGAGATCTGAATCAGATAAAGGAAAATTTAAAAAGCTGAGCAGGCTGCTGGTGTCTTATCAAGAGGCAGACCCTGCAAAGCTGGAAGAAGACACCCCTGCACCCCAGCATTACATTATTTTCATGAACCCCCCAATCCTGTATGTGTACACAATTGCCATTCAGTTTTTAAATATGACCATTTGCCAAGCCCTTTTCATAACTAACATTCCACAATGTCCCATCTTCAGATTTAAGAGATTCCCCCCCCCCCCACCTCACAGTCCTTTGTCTTGATTAAAGGTAAAAATCCTACATCCCCACACCACCTCCCAGCTTCCACCTGCAATGCTTTAATTAAAAAGGCAAGAGCTATGAACAGGTTTTTTGCCGGGGTTCAGAGCTTCTTTGCTGGTCAGTCCTTTTCACCAATTTGCTGGATGGGCAGGTGAACCTGCAGTGGGTCTCGAAGCCTCTTAAGGTCCAGTTCTGCCTAAAAGTAAAAGACACATTATGAAGAACAAGCTCCCAATACACCTTTTCCCCAATACCATTCCCCTTTACAGGAAGGAAAGGTTTTCCATATCTCCTTGTTTTTCCTGTCCAGAAGGGAAGCGTTTAAAAAGTAAAACAAAGTCCCAGGCTCATATTTGGGAAAACCATTCTCAGCACTTAAATACATCTTCTCTAAAGTTGTCTATTTGTGGCCACTTAAAAAGAAATATGGTAAGGAAAATTATTTGATCTCCATAAACTCACTGGAACTTTTTTTTTAATAAATTAAAAAAACAACTAGATTAATGGGAATGGTTGATTCTAGAAGAAAAGCTCTCACGAAAATACAGCCACCCAAGCACATCCATATTCAAAATAGCATGAGAAACGCAGAGGTCTTTCTGGGTTTTCTTATGAAAGCAAGAGAGGCTAGCCCTGACCTCCCTCTACTCCTTGTGCGGCTCCTTCTCCAAGGCAGGGGGAGAACACATCTTGCTCTGGATATCCTACAATGTAATTTCTAGAGCCTGGGAATAAACAGAGAATGATATGGAGCAGTGAAAAAAAATGTGGTAGCTCTGCTTTTTCTGCTTATGCCATCCTTCTGGAGAAAGGCTCTCAGAAACATGAGGAAAATCTCTACCTAACCCATTTGTTGAGCAGATCCCACAATGTGGACTGTCTGCTAAAAGTGTCTATCTCCAGAATATAAGAAATCTGCCCTTGTTGCCTCTGACAATACAGCTAATTTTTTTTGAACTCCGTTTTCCACGACTGCAACCCAGTGCACTGAAGTGCTATGTCACGAAGACATGAACTGAATGGATGCAAGTCTTCATTCCTCACTAAATCCATCTGGTGTGTAGGAGCTGAGAAAAAAGGAAATCTTGAATTAGGCTCCTCTGAGGCATGAAATGCCTGAAGCAACTCAGGATTTGCCAGCAGTTTCTGAAAGGCCCATACAGATCGACATAGGCAACTGTTTCATGTTGATTTACACATCCAGCAGTTCTATTCCTGGGCATATCAAAGCCAATTCAGTGATTGCACTGAGGCTGTAACAAGAAAATGGGCTGAAACCTTAAGATACATCAATTCTTGTTTGAGGTGCATCTATTAATAGCAGCTAAGAACTAGCAAGCAGTAATTTCTTTGTCCTATTTCTGGAAAAATTCTTGTTACCTGAGCGATTGCATCCTTGAGTTGATTGTATTTTTCTAGATCAAATCGTGTCTTTTTGGCTCCTTTATGGAAAAATAACAAGTACTGTCTGTCTCTGGCATCTGGATAAACATACTCCTAAAAAGAAAAAAGGAGAGAAGATAGGAATAAGGCCACAACAGGATGCAACACAGGATACCTTCAGCTCAGTATGTATCACGTGTGTTTTGGGAGAATGACTAGATTCTCAGTGAAGGCACAAGCCTAGACAAGATTGTCTAAGCTCAGCCAGTGTGGTGGGGTGACCCCAGCCAGCAGCTGAGCCCCCACCCACTCACTCACTCCCCTGCAGCTGGATGGGGGAAGAGAATCAAAAAGGCAAAAATGAAGAAAAACTTAAGAGTCAAGATAAGACAGTTAAGTAAGAGAAGGAAAAAAACCAAAACCGTAAGACTGATGCAAAAGCAACCACTCACCACCTCCCACCAGCAGACCAATGCCCAGCCAGTCCTCAGGCAACAGCTACTTTGGAGAAACTCCCTCCCCAGTTTGTTGTTGAACACAATGTTATACAGTACGGAATATCTCTTTGGGCAGTTCAGGTCAGCGATCCCGGCTGTGTCCCCTCAGAGGGGGCAGCAGGGAACAACAAGAAACAGAGAAGGCCTTGATGCTGTGCAAGCACTGTTCAGTAACAGCAAAAACACTCGTGTGTTATGAACTGTTTTGCTCACAAATCCAGACCATAGCACCATACCAGCTGCTATGAAGAAAATTAACTGCATCCCAGCCAGACCCAGCACAGTCAGGCATTTGCTTCTTTACTTGTATGTTACACTCCAGCAGTGAGTTACCATCACCTCCCCCCATCCCAAATGTGTGAATCCTTCCATGCAGAGAACCAAACCCAACACATTTCAGGGTTCCAATACCAATGAGTTAGTGGGGAGAAAGGGAGAAAAAAAAGCTATAAATACCAGAATAAGCCTTCATACGATGGCCCTTACTCTCTTCTTCTTAAGGTCATAAACATGCAATGGCCAATTAAAGCAACAATCGTTGCTCATGAATGAATCTCTCAATGAAGCTATGCAAGCGAGAACAAGAACCCAATACCACAGCTTTTGCCAGGGATACTCTCCTGAAAAAAGTCACAGCTTCTTAGAGCCTGCAGATAACTCAGAGCAGCAGAGCTGTTGACACCAAATCTCACACAGCCTCTACAAAGCACAGGTCTGCCTGCTGAAGTTAACTCTCCCTTGCACTGGGGCATAACACAACCTCTGTGTCTGGTACACATCCAATGACCAGGGCTACCGGGGGAGAAAAGCTGCATTCAGAGTCAAGCCACCCCTGAAACACCGAGGTTTTAAGGTCTAGCAGAAGAGGTACTAAATGACACAGACAACAATTAAAACATCCAATCCGAGTTCAAATACGGCAGAAGTTCTCACTGCACTTGACAGAAACTATTGCAGCACATGTCCTCGAGCCCCAGAAATAATGCAGGTGACAGACCCCTGGAAAACCACGCTGGAACACCTGCAGCATCTGTTTTGATGGTCTTGTGACAGTAGAGTCCTCCCTCCCTCATTATTTAGGGATTATAACTTTAAATGGGAGTGATGAGACAAAACACATATTAGAAATCCACACAGTCTGTCACAACTAGATACGTATGTCTGTGTGACCACTACCTATAAGCAGATGAACCTGTATAGCTGAAGCAGTCAATCACAGAACCTACATAAGCATTTATGGTAAGACAACCAGGAAATAAGCAACAACCACCACCATCCTGGTCAGCACAAATTAAATCAAGTGGCACCTAGGATCTGACCGGATAAAGAAGGGGAAAAGCAACTTCCAATAGGCACAATTTCCCTATTTTTCTAGGGAGTAGAGCTCAAAGCTTCTACTGAAGTGTCAACACCAGCACAACAAGTCCTACCTGGCGAGTGATTACGAAATAAGCATACATTGCCATGGCACTACCATAGGTGATGAAATAGGTGACTGGTTCCATAATGTCCCAAGAATACTCCCACCAGGTGAGGCGGGCCAGAATCCCAAACTGAGTGGCCATGTAGGCCAGGCCTCCCCACAACACCAACGTTGTCCTCTTCTCTGCTTTTCTGGTGAGCTCCATCCTTACCTGCAGGAAACAGAGCCATACACCTTACATTCTCAAAAATAATTATGTTAATAGAATTAAGAGATAAGGTAAAAATAAGATTTAATATAAATACAAGGTGTTAAGTGGTTTGAGACATGATTTGAGTCTAGGTTATGCAGACAAATCCAGACTCCTTTCCTCTAAGTATCTTGCCATCATCCATATTTTACTCTGAGCATGCTCTGGATACCTTGCAAAACTGCTTATTTCTCTGTGTTCAGAGATGTCCTGTTGCATTCGCTCCAGTACTTATTTACTACCGAGTTCATTTCCAATTATACAAAGCAAGGAAACAAAATACTTCGACAGAAATCAGAAACAGACATGGTTCAGTATACACTTAGTGCATCTTCTGCTTCAGTGATCTTCAAATGATTTGAAGTATGCCAGGAACCTAATTAAAACCTTGAAATAAATTAAAGCTGCATTTGGAGGATAAGCAAAATACAATGAGAAAATTCTCACTTTTTCTAGTGGTGCTAGTTGCTCCTTCAATTCCTCTAGTCTCCCTATGAGCTCCTTCTCTTTGTTCAGCTGGTGCTCCTCAATGCACAAGGCAGTTTTTGAACCAATGTCTTGACATCATTCAGCGTCGTTGCATTTTCATGGCTTAAGAGCTCTAAGGAAAAAAAGAGACTGATTTATGTGCATTTATCCACACAACTTCTCACATGCTCTTCAGAAACTGCTTTTAGTCTGCACAGGAAATGCATTAAACTATCTTTTCAAAAAAGTAATCTTTGGAAGTGTTCCAGCAATCTACAACGATGCAATTTCTTCAGAAGAAAACCAAGCTTTATTATTGGATATTCCTAAAATCTGATAAGAACAAGGAAAAGAGATAGTTGCTATTAGCTTGCCAGACATCAACAGCTACTTCTGATCCATATTTTTATACAAGACTTAAAGACAAATGAGCCACTAAACTAGTATGATCCATTGCAGCAGCTGTCAAGAAACAGCTACAGAATTTAGATCATCAGCAACCATAGTTATTGATGACAGCAGTCAAAGATTTTTGGTTAATGGCCCCAGAACATGCAGTCTTATGATAATTATTTTGAGTACCAATGCCAGGAATTGTTTCTCAACACTCTATGGGCAACCCCATGCTGTGCTGCCTACAGGACAATGAAATTCTCCCTCACAGTATAAAGACAGTAACAGAGCCACTAACTGAAACTGCCTTTATCCCTGCATTTCAACACAAAAAGGATTCCTAAAGGAAATCAATTTACAAAGGAGTTGTGACTAGTGGTATATTACACACTCCATATTGGAAAAAAAAAATTAGCCAAATAATCTAAAAAAAAAAAAAAGGGAGGGGGGGGGGGTGGGTTGTAGCATCCTTGGGCTTGTTATCTTCTCAAAATATGATTTTACCAACACAGAAAACAGAACTGACAGGAAAACTCTGCAGCAACCCATCTAGACTTGGCCTGCAATTCTCAAACAAGCAACTAGAGTTTTGATTCATAAAAAGCTATGGACAGCTTAAGTTTTACCACTAGCAGCTCAAGGGAAAGAAATAACTCAGTTGCCTGTGCCAAGGCACACAAAGCACACCATAACCCTCTCCCAGCAAAAGGGCTCCTGTTCCCCTGTGAAGAAGAGGGCGGGGGGGAAAGTGTTCCTACTGAAGTGACCATCAAAAATTACTTAGTCTTTAAGATTAGTGTTCAGGCATTTCCATTTCAAAACGCACAGGGTGGTTTCATAAAAATGGAAAAGCAGTAGCTGAAAAGTTCAACAGAACTAATCTCAGTGCCTATTTACAGGCACATTCTTTTTAATACAAGCTAAGTATAGAAGTTTCCCTGGCAAATGAATCAGAGGCAGCAATTTCACATAACCTAGGCGATCCCAGAGCTCACTTATCAGGACATAATGGCTATATCATACAAGTGAGCTAATCAAAACCACACCAACTCACTAACAGACTTTGCTTTCTCCAATGTTAGGTAAGCAGGATGTAGGAATTGCCTTCCTTTGAGGCAACAATTTCTCCAGTGCAGAAATAGACACCATGTTTGTATTCTCATTTAGTATTATTAAAAATTACAGACTAGACTATCTGCAAAAAGGTCCTTGGAAGCTAACTTCATCTACAGAGGAAGGTGGCATATATTGGCAGATCTTCCTAGATGTCAGCCACCCAGGGTAGTCTCAGACCCAAAAGACAAGGTCAGTCTCCTGCTTTTTGATAGAACAACTTATTTCAACATGTCATCTCATTCAGGCTGCTCAAGATGGTTAAAGAAACATTAACAGTTCCCTAGCAGCTTTTGCCTTATGAATGATTTTCTTCATTATCTACCGCTTAAAGAGAGGTATATCACTATCTGTGAGCCAAGCACCAAGCAGACCAACGTTTCCAAAGCTGGTGTTTTTCTTTAAGTCCTCAGCAGTAAGTATAGGCATGCAAGAACCAGGGCCTTCATCAAGCCTAAAAAGTTGCCTAGAAGAGAGACTAGACAGTAGATGAAAATATCAAGTTCCTGCCTCCGCCAGTAACTCTGGAGTGTCTCAAAAGCTGCTTGAAGGTTTATGCATCTTGTAAGTTACAGAAGTGTCTAAAGCTCATTATTTAAAAGGATTTTCTTATTGATTCAAAATTGGTTGATTTCCCTTCCTTTTTGATTCTTAGTAATGTAACCCTGTAAGAGAACAGTCTCGTTTATTTCATTGTTCATTAGCTAACGAAGTTTCAAGGTTTATTTACAATATTCAAAGTACCATACTTAAAAGGAAAAACTGTTAACTGTCAGGTGAGGGAACAATTTATTCTTCCAAATCAGATAATGTAAGTTTCAAACTAATTCACATTTTGTATTGTACACTTCATAATGACTTAAATTAAATTGCTTTGCAGTAATTACAATAAAATTCAGGAAAATGTAGAAATTTTAAAAACTACATTTCTTCATTTATTCCTCTGATGAGGGGGTACTGACTTTGAGCAGAATGAACATTTGTTTTTCATCACTGACTATTCTGATTACTTGGATATCACTAAACTAGACTCCAAAGGCAGGATTAGACATTGCAAGGTTTCCTTTAGAAATAACACTTCATTATTCTTGAACAAGCTAATAAAGCATGCTGCAATTAAGCAGGGAACCGACTACTGAAATTTATATCTGATGTTTACCAGAAGCAGGCTGATTTACCTCTCTTTGGTGGTCTAACATGGTACGTAACATCATTAATGATCAGTTTGAAGTCATCCAGCAGAAGCAAATCTATGCCTGTGGAGGAGGCGACACGTGTGCCATCTGTAAGGTAAACACAGATGACTCATTAAACAGCAGAAACAAAGTACCTAAACATGCTGTGGCTAAGCTGTAATGCCATCCCAAATCCAGCTGTTGGACTTCTACATTTTCCCACAGAAGATATGCTTTATCAAAACAAATATATATATATACATATAATACCTGCTTTGATGGCACTTCCATAAGACATCCTACCAATGTTTCAGAGCTTTTGTGGCAAGCAGACACATAGCAACTGAGCAAAACAGTAAAGCAGGACATGAAATGCAACATGACTGAGTTTTCATAGCTGAGCAAGATCGTTTCCCTTGTAACCACCTTTTACATACACCCAATTCCTTACAAATTAATTAGAACCTCTACATAGGTTGCATAGCTTGCATCTTTCCTGCTAAATAGTAGGAAACTCACCAAAATCACCTCTGTTAGGACTGATGTATATAAGCTAAGTGTTAGGAAAGTTTTCCTCCCCCCTTTACTCTACAGTCAGATTTCCCTGGCAGACCTGACTACACACGCATAGCTAACAGAATGTTCTTACTCTAGGAAAGGCATTTCTACCTTCTACTTTCTCAGGAATGTCAAAAAGCTCACATAACAGCAAACTTTTACTTAAAAAGCAAAAGGCTGGATGAAAATAACCAGCAAGCAAGTAAATCAATTAGTTTGTAAACAACAGTACCTGCTGAGTAGATTGCAACCCGATCAATTCCTCGGTCCTCTGCCTGAAGCTGTTGTAAGAACACACCAACAGAGTCCGAGATAGGTTTAAGTGTGAACTGGCAACGCTCACGCCGGGATGGAAGATTCACAGAAATTACAGGTAACCCATTTTGGTAAACCACTGTCACTTCTACAAAAACAACAAAAATACAAGTTCATTATTTAAAATTAACAGATCTTCTCATAATAATTCTGTATTTGTTCCATGGAGAAAAAGGCAAATATGGTTATGAGCTGAACATGAAAGATACTTTAAATTTTTGATTTATCCTTTATTGAGAGATATGCCCATCAAAGAAAAATGGAAGGATGTCAGAGGTTTACCCTCCCATTAACCTGGCAGCACCTGTTAAACCTTCTGTGTTTGTGGAATAGTGGAAGACATTTATTCTAAGCATAATCCTGTTTGTACTAAAGCCAACATGATATCCAAAAGCCACAACACGGCAGCACAGTATATTTTGGTTAGTTTTTGAGAATCAAAGTATTTTGGCCTATGGAAGACAAAACACTGCAATTTATCAAGGTTATAATCCAGAAGACAAAGGCAGACTGTGTATACTGGGAAACTTCAAAGAAGGACCTACTTCAAACCTTTTTATTTTTGTTTAGTTCTGGTTTCCTCCTCTTTGTCCTGAGGCAACAAATATGTAAGAGAGCAGTCAGGAGTATGAGGTTGTACAAACAGCACTCTGAGTTTAAGCTTCAAGATCATTTAATCTAAAATTCATGAGATTAATACACTTTGTACTTCAGAAGATAGACATTACTTCTCAGGTATAGATAAAACAACAATTTCCATTTCTTTAGGAGCTTTTTCAAGAGCGTTCTTAAGGATTTCAGTGCACCTTTCTAAAATTTATGGTAGTGACCTGTATAAACTGGAAGCTACTTATTACTTACTGCCAGAAAGACAGCCCACTCTGTGTGCTTTGGGACATCCATACATAGAAAAGAGAAGCTAAAAGTTCATATTCCCTAAGCTCTCTACTGAATCACAAACAGTCAAAATTTCCTGCAAGTACAGTAGTTGCTAAGATATAGCAGCACACCTAAAAATGATTCACGTTGAATTGCTACGTATCTTTCTTATGTAAAAATGTAAGGTCTTTTTTATTGCACACAGCGTTTGCCATGTCTCAAGGATTGTGCAGTCGCACCCACCCACGCTGCATCTGGCTTAGAATTCCCACCTGTTGTAGCTTTGGCCAACTACATAAATGACACACCACCATCTATTAAATTAATCTAACTCCTGTACTGACATGCCAAGTCAATTTAAGCAGCTTAGCATCAAAACTAGTTGGTCAAAGTCGTCAATGCAAGTAGAAATAGAAGCCAATAATGTAATTGTAACTACCAGAGGGAACTATTTCTCAGCATACCACTGTTAAGAAAGTTTTGCCACCAATGGCCTTTCCATCTCCCCCTTCAGTGATATGCTGCCAGATGATGAACTTGCTTATCACAGGATCGTTTGCATATTAGGACAAGCCTTGGGGCAACATGCCCTTCTGAAAAGGGAGGCTCGTGGATGTTGAGGAAGGATGTACCCAAGTACGCTTTCACAAAGCCAGAAGAGTTCTCTCAGGCTTTTGAGTTTACTGTCACATGCCCTCATTAACTGAATCAAGCATACAACAGCTTCTTTCCTCTTCCAGGGGATTGCTATCCAGTGTTGACAAAGGTCCTCATACCATCTTTAAAGACTAGGTGGAAGTGATGAATTATGGACATCTAAAAAGATGAAAGCATCCCAAGCATACAATATTTGGAAGCCTATAAATGCCTGTTCTCAAGACTCAGACACCTGACAGAATTTTAGGAACTTTAGTATTTCAAAGCTTAAAGCTCAAAGACAACAGTCAGATATTTACTGAAAAAAATAAAGCAAACTGCCAATTTACTTGGACAGTTAGACAGAATTTCAAGCTCCTTATCAGCTCCTTTTATGATACCAGCTATCAGATTTTTGCATTCTTTTGTTCAAGTATTTGAGAAGGACACTGGTAAGAAACAGATTAGCATTAGCTACACTTGTGATAGTGGGCTCAGAAGGAATGATCAACACGTTTGGAAGCTCAAAATAGCCACTGAAGTATTGAATGTGTTGGTTCTGTGAGCAGCATATACAACATCCACTTATTTACTGCTTACATAACCATAAGACATGAAAAACATGACTTATTTAAAATGCTACCTTGATCATACAGGCAGTGAGACAGTTTATTGTAGAGCAGAAGAGGTACCAACATTTGCACCAACACTTTCCTGGGTATCCCCATCAGAAGGACACAACCACAGCTCCACGACTGCCCACTTTGGAGGAAGAGCTCACCAGCACCAGCCCTGCTGCATTTTAACTCTCCCCAGACCAGATGGACACCACAGTGATAAACAAAATAGGCCTGGCTGCACCAAGAGTCATCAGCATCGGTAGCACAAACAAAACCTTTCTCAAGGATTTCCAGCTTGGGTGAAGTGTTAAAGACCAAATTATTTCCCTTCGGAGGACAGGCTCAGTAAGTCTGGAGTTATAGCTGGTTTATATTTTCTGTACAAAAGGCTTGTAAAAGTCATTCTCTAGCCTAATTCACTGGTGAGGAAAGTCCGTAATTCCACTTTGATCCTCCCATCACCTCCCAACACAAGTAATCTCCCGTCAGATTTTTACTGCATTAGAGAGAGAAGAGCTCCGAGGCAAACAAAAAAATTTAAAAAAGGAAAAAAACCCAAAGGACCTGTCAATAACACAACCCTAACAGACAGCAACAGACAGCTCCAGTAAAGTTATTAACAAGACAGCGTGATACAGCTGTCTGTCTTGCCCTCCTCTGTGCTGACAGCCCTGGGGATTGCCTGCATGAGGGCAACTACAAGTTATTAAGTGGACAAAGCATTTTGGCATTTCATTAATTATAAAGCTAACATTTTGGCTGATATTCACTAATTAAATTTTAAGCCAGTACTTAAATACAAGTGTTTTTCACTTACATTTACAGACACCTACAAGCTGGCCAAGGATGCTGCTAAATAAGACCATGAAGGATTTTAAAAGCTTTACACAGTATATTAAGCATGAGGTTGCTTTGAGGTATGCATTCCATCTGAGCACCACAAAGTTTTGACTCAACTGTATGTGCAGTAGTAACAGGTCATTAGTACTTTTTAAAGATTTCTCGTCTTGCATAAGAGCAACTTAAGCAATATATTAGGCCAAAATGAGGTACAGTAAAAAAGGGTGCGGCCAAAAATGTCAATGTTGAAAATTTACTACTAGTGAAGGTGAAATTATTGGAAGAAATACTAAAAGAAATATTCAAGCACAATAGGAGAAGTAAAAAAAAAAAAAAAAAAAAATCACAGAAATAGCTACACACTTACATTATCCTCTCAACCTTACATTTGTCCTCTGCACTTCTACCTCTTTAAGCCTTCAGATTTTTGTTTTAAGTTTTCCACAGCAGTCGTGTTCTCTTGGTGTTTGCACACAGTTGCTATCCTGGCAGGGGAAGCAATTGTGCCAGAGCCCTTTACTTTACTAGCTTTCAGGCTTTATTAACAAGCCTTAATGGGGAGAGAACCCGCTAACTGCTTGTGTCAGTCAGCATAAGAGCTCTAGTCTTTGCGCACAGCATGCAGACATTAAGCAGGCAGTGATCCCATCGCTGCTGTTTCCTCTTTGCACTCAAGCGTACCGAAATTTTTAAAGTTCCAACAGCCCATTCTTTTGCTTTATGTTATGACAACCTTACTGAAAAACCTTGTGTCAGAGCTGTCCCAGAATTTAAATTAAGGAACACAATTTCATTGGCTTTACAACTTAATTCACTGCAGCAAACAGTGCTTTCAACTGTTTCAGCAAGTAGCTGGTACGAACCGCACTTTCATTTCATAAATAAAGTTAACAGGGCACACAGGACCCTGAAAAGCTGGTGTCACACAGACCTCACAGCTACATCAGGAAAAAAAAGTCTGAAAAAAAATTTGGACAGTTGCATGCAATTGCTTCTTTCTTTATAAAGCCTGGACAGTTTTGTAAGGACAGTTATTTTAAAAGTTGACCATTTCCTTAATTCCTTTTGACTGACTTTGTCCTCTGTAACTTCCTCGGTTAAAAGTGGATTACCTCCTAGCCAAAAAAGCCTCGACCAGAAAAGGGGGTCAGGGAACATGATTTAAACTGTGAAGTCAGAAGCGAGCCAAGAGTTTCTCCATGTCAGTACTCACCATCAGAGGGCACTACGGTACTGCAATACACCACTCTCACACTCTGCCAAGGAGAAAGCCTCTGATGCACCTAGAAAATACAAGCACAGCAAAAAGGACAAACGTTCAGTGTTGCTCGTCTGGCAGAATCACACACCCCAGTGCCACCTCCTGCCCCCCCCCTCCTGCCAGCACCTACCCCAATGCCTGCGCTAGGCATTTCCTCCCATCCGCCGCAGTGGTAACCACAAACCAGCAGTGCCTGTCAAGAACTGCGTCTTCTCTTACCGTCTGCCACGCAGCAAGGTTTCCCCCCTCAGCCAAGTTCACTTCTACACACCTCACTCTAAGTACGTAGTTTAAAGTGAAAATGTGTAACGGCACAGCTGGGATTTTTTTTTCCCTTAATAGAAAACGGATTTTTAAAGCCTCATTGAGTTAGTTGGTTTTAAGAAACCAATTTAGATTACTACACAGATGTGGAACGTAGAAATCACACAACAGCATCAGCCTTTAAAAGGTTAAAAACAGGTTTTAGCATAACAGAGAGGAGGGTTAGCAAGCTGTGGATTAAGAGATTAATTCTCTTAGTTTATTTCCTATCCTGAGTTTTTTTTTTTTCTTGTCCTTACAGAACGAGGGAAGTCAAACTCTTAAGATACCAGTAGTAAACATGCCTGTTCATAGAAGAAAAAATTGCTCAAGATAAAAAAAATTAAAAAACTAAACAAAAAATGTGATACTGAGCTATTAAAAAAAAAAAAAAACAACAAGAAGAAAGCGCATGAATGGTTTGTATGTTCTGCAGCCCTGGCAAGTGACCGATTTGATCATTAAAATCTAGAAACAGACTCATTTAAAATCTGTTGTCTAGGATAAATTATACTAGTTATATACTAATCCTTCCCCAACAGTGAAATTACAATTCTAGCACAAAAGAGACAAATTTTAAAAAATAAGGCACAACACCAGCTCTCATCTGTCTATGGTGGTATGTATTTCAGTGCCTAGCACCCAGATTTTTCAAAAGCTGCAGTCCAATATGGGAATTGCAATGTTCTGGGATTTTTGTTGTTTGTTAATTTCTAAAATACAGCTGCCAAACTTACATTTCGATAAAGGTATCTCACAGGTAGGGCTTAAGTCAATTTCTAATGGAAGTTTGCAAACCAAGCCCAGGTTGTTTATTTTTCTGCCAAATTGCTCAGACCTCCATATTTTGCAAGGTTGCTTTCAATAATCTACTTGACTTTACTTTATCTGCTGCTTCCAACCCTGACCATTCTATGATTCACTTTTCCGCTGAAGCCTGCTTTAAAAACCAAGGATACTTTCAGCTACACTAGTCTTGAAAATAGGACCTATGGCCCAGGTAGTCAGTGCATTGATAGCTCTGAAATACACTCTAACTTGTGTTGTATTTACACTTCATTTTTCTCAGTCTTGACAATGAAAATAAGTCAAGTAATTTTCAATTTTCCTCCTTGCAACTGCATTTTCAGCTTCCCACAGTCAAGTCAAACAGGCAGATAACAGCAAAAGAAAAGCCAGTATGAAAAAGCTGTAACTGAACCTAAGTGGGAAGTTGCATATTTTGGCAAAAGTAATGTTTTAAAAAAACCCTATATGCTAGAAACTAAAGGACAAATTTGCCTTTTTACATTTGAAAATAGCAAGTCGGCTGGACTGATGAACACCCATGTGCTACTGATGAACGATCCGGAACAAGTGCCACCCCCCCCAAAGGAAAACTGGTTTAAAACTCAAAAACACCCAAGCAAAACACAGATACAGCGTCACAACCTGGACAAATCAAGCTCCCCTGTCTTGGCATCACTATTAAATTATGAAAAAAGTCAGAAGCTTCAATGATCAAAAGATACACCATATATAAGCCAGTTTTCAGAATCAAAGTTTACCTACAGAGGGGAAACCTCTATTTGAAACCAGCAACTTCCATTTTAATCCTTCTAAAAATAGTGTCAGACCAGATACAATAGTAAGTGGGCAGAATTTATACAGTGAGACACAAAACCTCCTGTCAGAGTGCGCTACCACAAAGCGCTTATTCTATACTTACTTTACCTGATCTCATGGCAGAGCTGGCACATTCAAATACACACTTTTCACTGTTTTACTCTTCCCTTTTATGTGCTATTAATTATCTATTTTTTAAATACTGCACACCAGGAGCCTGTCTTTTACTACATTTAAACGACAGCCCAAAAATTTAGCAGCTGTTTTCAGAAAATCCTAAACCCAGTTTTATCCCATTGCAAAACAGCTATATAACTGAAAGATATGATCAGCTAGCATCTGCAAAGGCTTCACCTTAAGGCCATGAGCATTTGACAGGTATAAGCTAGCTCTAAAAGTCAACCGCTCTCGTACAATACAGGCAAGAACAGGGGAAAACACAAAACAGGTTGAAAAACAGGGCATGGTAGGTGACTCAAAAAGCCAAGGTGTTCCCAGATTTAAGGTCTGTGACAATTCTTTCACCGTGATACAGGTCTGAACCAACTCTGTTTCATTAATCACACAGCAGCATACTGCCATTAAAGTTTTGCAGAAAGACATGCTGGTTAAACAACACGTATCTGCCACTGCTGCAGTTCTGAACTGCGCCTTGCAATACATGCTGCTGTTACACATTTCTTATCTAAGAAAACAGTCTCTACTTGTTAGGAAAAGGAAAAAGGAACAAATCAACTCAAAGTCAAAAGACCTAAATGCCATCTCCTGCCATCCAAGGTTATTAAGAACTTAAGGAATAATCAATCACTTTTATTCTTGAAGGGTAGCTGTTTTTTTTAAATTGAGATGGCCAGAAATGTCTGAACCCTTTATCTTCAACAGCTTTACGCAAAAATGTGCCAGAAGGCTGAAGCACAGGACTGAAACAGTGCAGGGTGGAGGAGAGGAACTTGTTTCAAGCTTTGCTGATCAGATCTTGCTATCATTTGTCTGCAGATAAACAGCTGACTGCTCACTGCTTCAGCAACGAAGGGTGGAATAACTACATCCAGATTTCAGCCAAGACAGACTTGTCCACTGCTTCAGAAACAAGCAGTATTTGGAGTGTGAAAAGCACCAAAGCCACACCACTGAAATCAGAAGTTTTAAGCACCAGAATAACTCTCTGTGTCTCAAGGGAGCAGATGCGGGAATTCAGTATTCACATCCATTTGATCCTTCGTTTCCTGTCTTACCTGCAGTAAGACACATGTTAAGAGCCTCAGGGTTACGCAGCAGCTTCACTCCCAGAATAGTTAAGGGAGCAAGAGTAAAAAAAAAAATCCCAGTCCTTTGTCTAAAACTAAGACTTCCTCCAGCCTTGTCAAGGTCTATATTGGACAATACAAGGATAAAAATAGCTACATTAGGACCTGTAGAGATGCTGTTATCTCAATGCTACACAGGTGACAAAGTTAATCAAAGCCCTACTGGGAAAAAAAACCCAGCCTTTTAGCTGCCCTCGAGTGCTCTCTGATGGGAAAAGAGGGAGCAATCTGGCAGATCTCATGTTCTGCATTTCATGTAATTACCAGTGAGAGAATGGTGACAACTTTGGGGTACCAAGTCTCCAAACCCTAATTAAAATCAAGAGATAAGCTGGCCATAAAAAAAACCACCCCAAGCATGAAAACAGTGAATATCTTAATCTAGAACACAAGTAAAACATGCTGCTAACTCAGTGACAGTCATGCTGCAGAGCTTTTGCGAAAGACAGTATTCTTCATGTAAAAATTTCTTACCACAAGTGAAAACTTTAAATTTGCAAGTGCCAGCTGCAACATCCATTTTACAGTTTATGAAGGGCCTCCTTTACATGAGGCTGCCTTAAGCCAAACATAAGCAGCTCTCCTTTTCCAACAAGCCACAGCTATTTTCCTTTCTATACCCACTTTCACAGCACGAAAAACTGAATGTCTTTCCTGGCTGTAAAAGTCGTTATCCTAAAGCCTCCTGGCTGGCATCTCAGTGACAAAAATTGCTGCAAGCTGCCCCTAACAATCGTAGTAACCCAAGCCACCCACCACAGAAGTGCCAAAGAGCTTCATTTATTGATCTTTCCCTCACTTCAGGGCTCCCCTGTACTCAGTCTGTTACATTGATCTCTCTGAAACAGTATTTCCACTGTAAGTGCTAGGGTCCCCCTTGTGTCCTCCCATTTTGCTTCCCCCTCACACAGCTATGTTTGCAAAGCAGAGGAGACACAGAGCAAAACAACCTTCTGACCAAAAACCTGCTGTCCAAGCTCCAGGACAAGTAGCTTATCAAAACAGCCAATACCCCTTCACTCCAACTTCTCCACCCCTCAAGAGGCATGAGGGAACGGGGGTTCCTCCTGGAAACACCTGCCCTTGGGGCTCCCAGGGACACCCACCTGCCATGGCCTCCCATCAGGGGAGGACAGTCCCTGCCCAGCGCCTGGAGCACCAGCTCCTCCTCCCACCTCAGTGCTCACGGGGCTGTTCCTTACACTTTCCACCCCTCATTCCTCTCTTTTTTCCCAGCATTTCTTCCCTTTTTTTACCTCAGTTTCCCCAGGATGCCAGCAGCAGGGCTGAAGGGCCGGGCTGTGCCTCACCAGGGGCCACCAGAACCTGACAGAATGGGCTGTAACTGGCCAGAACCAGCCTGGGCAGAGACAGCCTCTCCTCACAGAGACGCTCAGCTCCTGGGCACCTCACACAGCAGCTTTAAAAGCAAAGGCTGCAAATAAAGTCCTTCACATATGAACCCATGCAGGGCTGCGAGCAGAGACTTGTTCAGTCTTCAGATGAGGATGACTCCCTCCAGGAGTCCCTGAGGAGAGCAAGGGGACAGGGAGAAGCCTCGACAGCAGCCCTCACACCTGCCATGCCAGCAAAGAGGCACTGTGCTGCTGCCAGAGCCCAGGCACAGCACCGCTCATGACAGATGCCTTCTTCAGCATCCTCCCTGGTTGCCTCAAACTTCCCAAGAGATAGAAATGGGCCAGAGTGGCAGCAGAGATCTCTGCCTGCATCTCTCACCCCCTTCCCCACCCCCTCCATTCTTCCAAGACATCTGGACACCTTGGCCTGCTTACAGGATCTCCTTTTG